ATTCCTCCAAAAAAGTTAATCATTGCTTACAAAAATTGAGCTAAACCAATCATTTTTCTAGATCCACCCAAGTGTTTCCGCATATCCGGAATGCTCATGATGAACCTTCTCTTTGGTAGATTTATGCAAAATAGTGGCCGTGTCATTCAGGATGCCATAAACTCTCCACTGTCAACCAAATGATAATCCTCGAAAAACCTCGATTTTTTGTGATTGAACACGCAGAATTCGTTTCTCTCCCCACATAATTAATTACACATGCATGCTACACAATTTATGAAATGTTGTGTTGTGTATCCTACAAATCCACTCGGGGAAAGCAGGAAATGAGGCATGCTTTCCCAGTCTCCACATGGCAACTGAAAACATTTACAGAGTCCTGATAATTCGAGTTGTTGACTGCTCTCACTTCCTTGTTAGGGATGCAGTTGCTGTGCGTGTAAAACGTGCGTGTGTCGTCGGCGATGACGTGAGCTCGCCCATGCCGTCTCCCGGAGGCGCGGTCTGAGGCTTATCGATTCAAGCCTCACTACTCACGACATGCAGGCCGGCCTGCTGCTTCTTCTGGGCCTTTTCGCCGGCACTCTAGCGGCCCCTAACCCCCTACTTGAAGATGAGTCCCGATTGTATAACCTCTTAGAAAACGACATTCGAATTCCTGAAGATGACGAGCAGATCCAAGACGATGGAGCCGAGGAACAGAGCGAGGTAAGCCATGACGCAGAAAATTATACGTTTTAGAGACTACGGTAGATATTTCGCTGACAAAGACGCTCCTCTTACAAATTCCGGGTAGTTACGCTCCAAACGTCAAGCATGATACCGCCGGCACACGAATACCCATCAGCTTCCTGCACCTACTCAAAGAAAAAGACACAAAGACATCATCGCCGATAGAAGGCGATGTGGTCCTCTCTCTCTCTTCATTCCAAAGATCAAATCCATTACAGTCACGCAAATTAGCTCGAGTGTATGTCGGGCTCATTTCGTCCGCCAGAAGCGCGCCGAATTAGGAGGCTCTCTGGCCAAGGACCATGAAGCATGGCGCTCATAAGCCCGCTCCCGAAATCTACTTGGATTTAGTGGAAAAAGAGCATCAGGCGAGGCATGTTTGAGGAAATCTGATCTTCCACCTCATCTATTCTGAAGATGCTTCGAAGAAAGTGGTTTGTGTGTAAACATATCTAAAAGGACTATTTCGAGGGGCTATTCTGCCGGCTGTCCCCATTTTTATGAACAAAATCAACTAGGTGATTGAACACTACAGCAACGAAGGAAACGGATCACAACTTCCCGTTTCAGCTGTTCGATATCATCTAAAAAGGCCGTCCTTTTGACTCGTTTGGTTTTTGGCGATAGCGGTTTGCTTGAATGTCAAGGCTGTATGAAGTTGTTGTAGAGGAAACGACTTAAGAAAGTTTAAAGAAATTGGAAACATCCCTGAATTACTGTAGTTAGAGGTCCTCATTTACAAATAGACATGGATTTTCCCTAACAACGAAAAAGTCGGCTAGCTTAGTAGCGCATAACACTTGGTGAGCTTTTGTTATCGCCTCTACTTACCTCCAAAAGTTCCGCGATGAGGACCATAGTAGAGGACTTCCGCGGGTAAAACCATCCCAGATGGAAAATGGTGTCCGAACTACGGCTGTAATGGTGCTCCGTCATGTGTACCACCCAAGATTGCTATGGTTTCAGGCATTCATCCTACCTGTCTCAAAACCTCTCGGAGAAATTTCTGGATTAGCGATCGATCCTAAAGGACGTCTGGTAGCGTTCCATCGAGCCGATCGTGAGTGGGACGAAAAGTGAGCTCTTTGTGTTGATAATGCTTTTCAGTGTTCCCCTGGAGAAGAAAGATGTTAGGTTGCCCTATGGAAGATGATCGTTTTCTTTTCGAACACGAACGTTTACATGGAATTCTGACTTCTGGCATGTGCCGTTTAGAAACATCCTTTCTGTTTATGAGATTTGCTGTTACTTTGACAACTTGGACACAGAATACTAAGCCACGTGACAAAGAAGTCATAATCAGTGAGAGGGATGTATGTATTCATTTCCTCACCAATTACTTCTGTGAATCAACTTGGAGAGGAATCAAGACAAAACGTTAATTTTTATCAGAAATCGTCTTCAAATCAGTTAGACATTCACTAATACATTCTTTGTCATCATTACGCACCTTTCCACCCCTACATATCGAGGAAGCTGATGAGAATGCGAGGGAGTTCTTCTCTGAATGTTCTGGGAACCATCTATCGAAAATCCTTCCCTCTGTCATGAGCTCTTTGCAATCTCGACATTGAGCCTCATCGGCCCTAATCTCCAACCCTGGCCTCCACTACAAGAACTTGAAAAGCGACTAGAATAAAAATAAACAAGAAGAGCAAGCTTCATTTCCGAATTTTCTTCGTCTCTAGATCAGGAAATCTAACTGAAGTACTTCTCCTAATGAATCACTCCTACTAATCAGTAAAATCAATAAAAAGTGGAGGACCAGTTCAATAGCCAGCTGTCAAGAATCCTCCTCATTCTGAAGCGAGCTTTCCGAAGTTGCAGCATAGGAACTAACTGCTGTTAAACTCAAAGAATGCTGCCTGGCCCCCTACGATGTAAAGCTAAAAGTTGGATAAAGTGAAACAGAATATAAAGTTAGCAACTACATATTTTCTTTCTTTCATTTTGTTTGCTCGTCCTTGTGCTCAGAAAAATGCAGACGAAATAGAAAAATAAAGGGGTAATAAGGGATAAGACGAATAAAGTAAAGGATTTCTCAGAGATCTCCTACCACTCAACTTAACAAAAGTAGAATTTAGCAGAATGGTGGCCCCACTAAAGCTCATGAATCAAGCTTGATTTTCTTGCATCTACGAATGATCGTCCTATGCCGTCCCACGTAGAGCGCTCCATCAAAATATCATTTTCCGTGGTAGTCCGATTATCACCGATGACCAAGGTCACAACAATCGCTGAGTAAGAATTCCTTGCAGCTCCCACCACTCCCATGTCTTGGAATTTTCCGGAGAATGTTCGGCCAGCCTATATCCAACTAACTTTGTTTGTCTTTGTCTGTACTTTTTTGGCTGAAGATCATTCAAATGACGTGTGTCTTTCTCTACGGCCCGACATAACGCCGCCTATTCAATCTGCCTTCTAGTGAATGTCCATTGAAACGCTTTTCAAGCATCATAGTTGAAGTGTGATCAGCTGTAACTGAGGGGACGTTTGTCCCAGTTTATGGGATGTTGCACAGAAGAGCGAAAAGCCCATCAGGGAGAGAACTCTCTCTGGGTAACTGTTCCGAGCAATTCGAGCAACTGCCTACCAATAACAGCTTTAAAACACTCTGCTTCTCCGAATATTGGTAATTGCTGTACCAGTCCCCCTAGGCCCACAACGTAAGTACATACCCTTTACAGCGCTTCAACACTCAGTGTCCGCTCACAACCCGTTTTTCTCCATAACAGGCGCTAAGTTTCTAATTCTGGACATCATCCACTCAGCGAACTACCTTTAAGGTCTCAGACACTAAACAAAGAGTGAAAGAACTCATTGTAAGCAAAGAGGTGGTCTGATGGTTAATTCTGCTAGGGGCTAGAAGAAGAACTAAATGGAGCAACAGCATATCTGGACACTTTCTCAATCACTGACATCTAAGCTAATCCACCACTGCTGCTTACTTGTTTCACTTTGGGTCCCTATCAGAAGGCGACAGCACATCTCGCTTATTCACATACATACTCGCTGTTGATCATCACTTCGGTTTCTTACTTCTCGACCTTCTTCCACCATAAGAATGCCTCACGTGACCTCATTCCAGAAATGCTACTTTTTAATCGATTTTTCTCATTCGTGCCCACTCCTTGTGTACTTATAGTGCTAGTGTGCCTTCGGATTACTGCCTCAGGGTGAATGCCGTGGGAGCTGCAGATGTAATTCATCGATATTTTCAATTTTGGAAAGGCCTGTTGGTTTCGGATTGCATAAGAGGCAAGAAATTCAGGGCTTATGCCTGAATGCCCCCCCCCCGTTCGAAAGCTCCTTGAATAATAGCTGAGAGCTTAGTCTTACTATCCCACCTGCTTATAGCAACAGTGCGCTCGGTTTGATAGACCAAACTGCGAATATGCTCTCCTACATAGATGTGATGAAGTAGTAACGCGGCGAACATGTAAGTCTCGGGTATTTAGTCTGGCTATTCCTCCTCTGAAAGATATCTTTTCCTACGTTATGGCACTCAGCTGGGCCAGTTATAGTTCGTGCTGACACAACCATTTTGATCTTGAGCACGACATCTTGCTGTCAATATTAACCCAATTAATCAGTGTTATCATAAGACTCATCGATGGTGCAGCGAAATTAGGAACAGAACTATATCTACCAGATGTCGAGATAGATGAAACCAAACATAAAATTCAGTTTCCTATTCCTACTAGTATTCCTACTTCTGAAAGCTATTCGTGAGCGATATGATTACAAACTCCTACGAGCCGAAAATCTGTCGAGTTTATTAATCTCAAATACTCAACAGACTTCCGAATTTTCAATTTTCAGCTCATTCGACAAAAAGGAGGTCTTCAACAAGAAACTCGGTCCAATCAAAAACGCCACGATTGCTATAATCGACCCGAGCAATGGAAAGGTATTTTGTCTCACTGATTAATCTTTTCCACAGCATAAAACCTCTGGCATACAATCTTACCTTTTAACGAAGCTGCAAGTCAGTGTAGGTCACATGGGGTTCGCTCAGTGTTTTGAAGGTGTCCATCTAATTTCAAAGTCACTCCGAATTATTTTAAGAGAATCGTAGCAGCATCTCGAGCCACGAATTTAGAGAATGTCGATGAATTTCAATAGAAATAGAAGTGACGTAATCGAGCTAACACCGTACCTCTATGATTTCCATCGAGCACCTTTCTTTAACTTACCTCTATTTTATTACTGCTCTTTGATCCTGTTCTGTGGCCGGGAACCTCTTCAGTATCCATTACGTAGATTAGCAATTATCCTCGCCTAATTGATGGCGATAGAGTGGCAGGGATCTGTGCTCAATGACATGATCACTGAACTGTGTACATTACATATATTTAGGTGGTTGAATAAAGAGGTTGAATATTCTCGAGAAGTTCAGTTCCTCCGATTTGGAAGGGTAATTTGTTTTTGCAGATTGTCGAAGAACACGGCCAGAATATGTTTTACATGCCGCACGGTCTGACAATTGATGAGAAAGGGAACTACTGGGTGACTGACGTTGGAAGCCACCAGGTAAGCCTATCTGGTGCGTTTTTTACGACTTGATTTCAACCAGCGGACATATTTCAGGTTCACAAATTGGATTCGAAGTTCCACCCACTGCTTTCACTAGGAGAAAAACTCGTCCCAGGCGATGATGAGAAACATTTTTGCAAACCGACCGATGTCGCGGTAGCAAAGAACGGCTACTTCTTCGTTGCCGACGGATACTGTAACAGCCGAGTGCTCAAGTTTGATCCTAGCGGAAAACTCGTTGACAGTTTCGGAGCGGCTGGTGGTACGTATATTTCCCAATTGTCCTCATTGCTTATTTGTGAAATCAGTGCCCAATCAGGTTCTAATGGAGACTCGAACTCTTTGCTCTCGCCACTGCTCTGAACAAGCATAGCCTCTGTTCATACTCAACATATCATCACTTTCCCTTCTGGAAATTATTTTTCCCCATACATCACACGCTACTCGAACACCTTCTTAGAAATTGGTGGAGCATATCATTCTTAACCTCAAATTTTTGATGCTATCCCTCTTAGCTCGATTCCACCATTTCCTTTTCCTAGAGAGCAATTTCGGATGAATAGGTCGATTAGTAGATAACCTATGGTTCCTACGAAGCGATCCCGATGAGATTTTCGAGCAATAATAACAAAGTGGTTACCAAATGTCTTGATTCTGTTCTGTTCTACAACAGTTATTGCCTTCCAAGAAGCGTGAACCTAAACTTTCTCAACTAATGACTGTTATCGAATTTAACGTTCTGATGAGCTACAGAACATCTTCAGTCATCTCCTAGTAAAGGCTGAATTACTACATGAGTGTTAAGGGCGGTATGCACGGCACTTTTAGTGATGAATGGCCTGTTAGCTGAAAAGAAAATGAAGTATTTGTAGAGAATTTCGCGGTCTTATGCCTTCTTTTCACAAATGACTCGAGAAATGGCTAAAGGAGAACCACTGCCTCCGGTAGTTCCTGACGCATCTTATTGTAATATCTCTATCTACTACTACGTATCTCTATTATCTTATATTTGACCTTATGTTACCATGTTGTGATCACTTATGTTTCTTCTGCCACATCAACCTAACATTTCGCTTTCGTTTTTCCATCGGTTATTACCGGCCACCTAATTGTGAGACGGAAGCGTTGGGTTGTTCCCCGGGTTGTTCTGCAGTGTTGACGGCTAAGCGCCATTCGAAAGAGTCAGAGCAAGAGTGGGTACTCTCAGAGCTCTAATGGCATATCGCCGTTTCAGCGCTTTCTGTTTGTTGTTTGTGCAAAGGGAAAAGGTTGTTGACGTGGTTGCGTTTCAGATGAAGTCGGACCATCGGAATTTGTCATTCCTCATTCACTCGCACTCATCGAAGATATGAACCTGATTTGCGTCGCTGACAGGTTAGTGCTAAGAAGTAACAAATGTTTGAGATGTTTGAGAAGATTGTGGTGATTACCCTCTATGGTAAGGTTATCTATCGTAGCCCTAGTTGTCAGCGCTCCGGAAGATTTCTAAACCGAGGCACATATAAAAATGGTGCAGCACTGATCATTCCCACATGACTTGAAGCCTTAATAGCCAAAGCCGTTTCTGTTTTCGCAGCGCTCTGATGGCATCAGCTGACTGGCAGACGAAAAATGGAAAACTCAATTCAAGCGAGATCCTTTCCAGGGGACCACGCAATTAAGCGGTTTAGGACTTGTGACAAGTACAGCTCATTAGTTTGCCACTGGGAGCTCAGAAGTTTGAGGGCGAAAAGACCAGCAGAGGAGTTGGGACGGATTCCGTCCCTCGAACGATCCCAGCTATGTCGACGCTTAAGTGACTTAATTTTTATGGTGAAAGGATAATGCATAGAAATGTTGGATTTATTCCTACGCGAGCTGTTTTGATCGTTATGAAGTATGAGATGCAGTCAAGCTTTGTGCAACGAAGGCAATTTCTGCTAAAAAGAAACTTTTGAATAGCCGCAACCTTTCGAAATTCAAGAACCTGAAGTTCAACCCGTGATTACTCAATGGAAGGCTTCCATATAAAAATGTAGGCGAAATCCCAGATGTTATGTGCGTGGCAAAAAAACAGCGAGGAACATGAATATGAAATATGTTGGGGCGGGTGCGAGTTATTCCTCGAATGTCGATGAAATGAAAGTTCCTTTCCATCGATGCCGATTTTTCAAATGTTCGGCTGCGCTATCACGGCTATTTTCGCTCTTTTCGTTATGTGCACAAACCCTCACAATCAGTTGAATTTTGTGGGCACTACTTCTGAGAAAAAGCCATGAAACGTCAAAGCCTTTTTGTTTGATCAGTAGTGGCGAACGGTATGATGCGTAAGAAAATGTAACCGAAGCATGTTCTATTGACAAAACCACTCAAGCTTTTTATGAAGGTATCGAATGAGCGTATGGGCCTATTGAAATAAGTATTGTCCCGAATGCGTAGCGAGATTCAGAATTTCTTGGAGAGTTCAAAGGCACAATTCACGATAAAATGGCCTATGAGAAGAGATGCGAGGATGAATTTGTGCCCCTTCGTATACCTTATGTGGCTCTGTCAGGCCGGAAAACGGCGTAGGTAGAGCGTTATAAAGGTCTAAAGCTTGTCCCGTGTGTATGTGCGGACCAGTTTCGACTATGTAAAGGCTGCACTATCCACCTAAAAAGTTCAGACAAATTGTCATGACCCATAGCGGCAGTGAAAGACAATTCTGACAGTTTTGGCTTGATATAGTTAGTTCCTTGTGCAATTGCAACAACTGAAATCTCGTCCAAATACCCCTTCCATGTCATCCCTGTCATGGTAATCTCGAATATCCCTATTTTCACTACTTTCGGAGAGCCTTCGCAAGAACGGCGAATTCTCTGGCTCCCTTCACCACCGATGCACGTTAAAATGTGCACTTCAAATTTATTGTGAATCGTGACTTCAAATAACACGCCAATTAGATGCGATACTTTCTCACCAATGGGATTAGGAAGGCTTTCAGTTCAGCCCAGATTTATTCCATGCAAGGCTCTGCATTTGCTTTCCCATTCTCGCGATGCTGTCCGCAGTTACATAGTTCTTGGATTCAAAAAAGATAATGTTCAACTCCTCATCATACCGTCTAGAGGGTTAGCAGAGCAACTACGCTGATGGGAATTTCGTCAGAAGCGCATCGCCATATTCTACTCCATAAAAGTTTTTTTCTACAGGGAAAACGAGAGAGTTCAATGTTTCTCAGCAGGACTCGCCGAAGGTCATCGAACAATTCCAGCCGGTATCCCTATTACAAGTGCTGAGCATATCGGGAGAGTGTACGCAATTAGAGAGAAAAGTTTGTCTTTTTCATTTCGAAATCTACTTTGATAGCTGAATTGAGCACTCTTTTGTATAGAACACTACCTCATCGGGGTGACTGGCCGTGACGAAGAAGATCAGCTGTCACCACAACTGTTTGTCATGGACATGGCCAATGGAAAAGCTGATACTTTCATCAAGGTGGATACTTTCTCTTAATTCTACACCTAAGAGCAGCTATCTCTTTTTAAGAGGGAAAGAAATTTGAAAGAGATTACAGATCGGGGCGTGGAAAATCCAGGTGTAGAAAAAAGGAATCATTTTTGATGAAACCATTTAGGCGGCGCACCTAATTGACTTAGTTTTCGTTTTCGAAATATTCTGTTAAAGATTCCTTCTGATTTAATTAAGAAAGGCCCAATTCGTTCATAAACCAAAGAACTAAGCTATTCGCAGGGTTATTATGATTTTCCCTTAGGAGCGGCTTTGAATGCAGAAGCGAGGTCTCATTGCTTTCCTCGGACTTCCGGATTATTTCTGCCAAAAGTTTTCGGCTGGTCTTATTTTCGACAGCGCGTTTGAATTTCTTGACATAAATCCCACCTAAACTACTCTCCTACGCTACATACTGCCTTTCAGCATTGTTCTGGGAGCGTGTATCATATCTGAAACTTGTCCTGAAGGCTCTCAATCAAATACATGAGGTGTAGGTTTTCATAGCTCTAAGCAGGTTCAAATAACGAACAATTGGGAATTGAACAAGTTTCTTGTGAGGTCGGCTTTCACTTTATGTTGTGCACTGAAGCGATGATTTCATATATTGCAACTCAATTCGTATATACAGCAATAACCATATTTGGCATTATTACGTGCTATATTTAGGGAATCGAAAACGCCCACTCGCTGGCAATATCGGACGATGGAACGGTGTTCATTTCACAGATGCATCCTAATCAGATCATCCAGATTTCGCTTCCAGACCAAGCCTAAGGCGTTGCCGCCGTCACATTCCTCTCCATGCATTCAGTAGCTCGTTTCCACGATTCAATCACGGGCCAAGACTTCTATCATGTACCATCCGCATACTGACAATCGATAAATGTGAATAGACAAGTATTCTTTTAGTTGATTGGTGTTTTCTTATTGCGGCTTGCTATGCGAATGTCATCCCGAGGATAGGGACTTATAGGCAAAACCTTTGAATCACGGCGAAGAATGGATTACAACCTGAACGAAAATTTGGGAAACTGAGAAGATAAGGATGCATCCTCGGCCCTCCACATTTTCGAGGCATTTGGTGGCTGTTTTGGTAGAAAAAGGAACACATTCATCGAATATATCATTCGGCAAATTAACAAATTTGCATATATGCGCAGGGAAGAATCCAAAAAAATCCTCGCGTTGAAGACGGAGATTTCGGTTTTGCCTATTCCTTGTGTGATATGATCGTTTCGAAAATCATTCTTTTCGGGTTACAAATGTCGTGAATACAGGGCTCACCTTCAAGATCTATGTAATCCAACATCTCTTCCCGAATCAGAGATCAATACAAGGGCTTACATTGTGCATCTTCGACATATCCGTTTCTTTTTCTAAGAACTAGTGAACTACAAACCATCCTTCTTCGATTTTCCATCATTAATCTTTCTGTCGTCTTCAATGCCTTTCAACTACGGTCACGCTACATAGAACAGCGGAACTTTTCCGAAATGACGAGTCAACAATGTCCCTGATAGAGTTGAATAATCAGATATATGTACTTGTGGTGTTTACTCGAAACATAAAAAACAAAACAACAAAAAATACAAACAATATGAGATTTAAAGCAGAGCAGCAGCATCTTTCTGCTGTAATCGAAATTGTTCAAAGAGGAAAGTTCAGAAACTAAACGAAATTAAAAAACTGAGTACTAACTGGTCGAGTGAATCTTTACAATCTAAAAACTTTTGAGGCTATTCTGTTTATTGTTTTTATTGATTTTCGATTTTTTCTTTTGGTAATCCATCTGGTACGAGCTCGAACGTGAAGTCTTGATGCACACAGCCACCTGACTGAGGCACTTCCACTATTCTTGCCCAAGGTCCCCTTTCAATGTGCTGTATAAGGTTAGGCCGTGAAAAAAGTATATTGTGCGTGAGTAACTGAGTAGCTTGGAAATCGTAAGGTCGCTGTTGAGGAGGTGGTGAATTTTTACCGTGTGCCAACCACGCCCATGACACGCAGTGAACAAGCTTCGCAGAACTGGGGATCTGTAACACCTGGAAGTACGTAGTCACTCTATGGAGGGTAACAGATGCCTCAAACTAGAAAGTTGAGTATTGTGGTTGTAATGTTAAATTGTGATGACAGCGCACGTTGAAGTTTTCGACATTTCATTCGATTTTTTGAATTTCGTAAGGTAGACTACAATAATTTTTTACTAGTAGAACTAAATTTGTAGCAAATTTTAAAAATGGGAAGCGTCATTAAGACGTGAGTCAGCCATTACTTCGCATCTATGAGTACTGTTAGCACGGTACGTCTTAGACGATTAAACGCAACGAGGCAGCTGGCATATTCAAAAGTCATTCGCTTCAGAGTGTTAGGAACAGGTGCGAATCGGAAGGTAGATACAGGAAGTCTATGGCGAAATATGGGAGGAACGTTAATAAAACAGAGTGAAGGTCTGCGTCGCACTGGGGCACGCGAAAAGGCTGAAGGAATGAATATCTCCCGAACAAGACCTCCGCCGCAGAATCGTGGAGAATTTTTTGCAAAACAAAGCCTTTTAAATCTTGAAAATCCATTTTCTGGGTAAGCAAGCTGAAGAGGAGAGAAAGACAGCTCACAACAGTTGCTAGGCCGCTTTCGACGAAAATGCCGGATCAACCTGCTCCCTGGGGAGAAAGTATTCACGATGGAAGAGATGGATGGAGAGATCAATAGGTAAGACGGAACTTGTGTGAAGTTGACACAAAGGGAAGCCTCCGTCTCTGTCTCCGAGACCAAAACATCGCTAATCTACGTTCCCTATATGTGGATTATGGTGCCACCCACCGGTACTACTGTCGTCAGAGGGTTAACTTGACCCTTTGACGACATTAGTTCCGGTGGGTGCTACTGTCGTCAAAGGGTCAAGTTAAACTTTTGACCACAGTAGCACCCAGTGGTGGGTGCTAGTATGACCCACGATTAATGGCACACAATGTTGGGAGGGTGGCGCTCGCAAAGCATGAACTGAAGCTCAAATGATTTGAATATTACACGAGTTCCTACTGCGTACCTTATTTCCAAAATTTTATCCTGCATCACTTCCAGACTCGAACTCCACTCTCTCCCTTAGTTGCATATATGGATGAATTAACTTCTTGATGTTTCCGTTGAATGAGAAATATTGCTAAATGCAACAAACAGTGAAAGAATTTTCCTCTGGGACAATGGTACCCACCAGGGGGTGCCAATCGAAAGGAAGGGAGCGTAGTCCCGTGGGCGCCCGTCGAAATCTCTATTATCGTCGGAGGGTCAATAGAGAAGCCTCTTAGTTAGGCCCCATGCGCAGTCGGCCCTTTATGTCATCAAGAAGAAGCTCTTGATAAGAATTTTGTTGGAAGGAGTTCCCCCACTTAACTGGTTTTGATAACTGGTGACTGAGAAGCTCTGACCTAATTTCGAAGTGCTGATTGAGGAGCCCTGACCAAGGTTCATGGATTGCTCGATGTGACCAATCACGGAAACGAAAGCATGGGTCAAACCTTACTAAAACTTAAATACTACGAGAAAACATTGTAAAAAATTTGGACTAACTCTCATCCTAGATGCATACCATTGTGGACGCCTTCCCCCGTAATCGTTGAGTTTGAGCTAAAGAACAAAAAACAGATTTCAATCTAAACCTACTTGAGTCATAATGAGTCATTAGTGGCAAACACTTCTTTGATGTTGGTTGACACTATTAGCTGGGTGTGGGTTCTTTCGCCCAATTCTGGATGGACGCGGCAAATCGCGAGGCAAAATTCGCGGTGATTCAAACGACTCCGGCGCCTATCATTGCGGGTTAGGTATTGGTTGGTTTGTGGGTTTATTGGTCATTGGTTTACGGAAATTGGATAATTAGGGCCAGCTGATGCTACTTGTCTACCGTACTTCAAATTTGTGCCCCACCTATAGGCACCTCAGTCATTCAAATCACCACAAATTTCGCCGCGCGATTTGCCGCGTCCATCCAAAATCGGGAGTATGCCCCGTCTCCCGCCCCCACCCCCCTCCCCCACCTATTAGCTTGGTAGTCGGATTCGGTGTTATGCCTGTGTCATCGTTTCGACCCACTCTGTACTGAGCTATGTCTTTGTGCTCAGAATCATTCACTCATGCACCAGTATTTACATAGAAAAGAAAATTCAAAGGAATGTATTCAAATGCAGTTGAGAAGAAGATTTGTCATTAGCATAGGTAACAATTAACATAGGAGACGATCAACTTCTGATTGTGAAGTGATTCACGAGAAAGTTATCTTTGTTCCGTATATCCTGTAAGCAATCTCTCAGAGTTAGTGGAACTTGCTGAAGTTGAAGAATTGAAGAATTCCCCAATCCAATATATTTCCGCCCGAAAAGGAAATGGATAAATGCGGTTGTGGCAAAAAATGTTGCTTAGTTCTTGGTTCTATAATTCTTTTGGGTAGATGCGAGTGGATAGTGAATCGAACACATCATCACTAAGAAATTTGGGAAGAATTCTGAGTCGGTAAGTCATCGATGAAACCTAGAAGAAAGCCAGTTATAGCTTTGAAATTGAGAGCCTTGTCAGATGATTCAATCTGGATTGGTGTTATTGATCGTCAATAGATTGCTTCGTTTAGAATGCGAGTCGTCCTTTGAGAGTGAACGTCGAAATTCCTCGTAAGTATCTTGTTGTGCAGCTTTCTTCAATGATTCAGTTGCTGAAGGGGAATCACATAGTGGAAGTTTTACTTGGAGAGCGCATCGAGTTTAGATTGAAGACATAGATATATGAGAGGTTAGTACTCGCTCCTGGAGTGTAACATGTTGCTGTTGATGACGGCGATTACGAACCCACTGCTGACATTTGGAGTGAGAGCGCGGCGCCAATCGCTGTCTCTGTCGTGATGGTGGAACATTCATTGCCTATTGCCACGTCGGTTATAGTTTTGTGCCTGATTTGTACAATAGAAGTGATGATATATAATACTTGCCTTGAGCATGTGCATGAGGCAGTGTATTTTCTTGTGGTTGCAGAAACAAGCATTTTTCAAGAAGAGGCAGTTCCTGAAGAAATCTGCCTCCTTTTCTGTCCTGCACTGCACTTGCTTGGGAGATTTTTGTAGTAGTTGCCCTTGTGATGATAGTCTCAATCGTGTTGTGACGTTGCTGTTCGTTGGGAAGGAGGAATTCCAACACTTATTGAACAATCCAAAAAATGTGTGAAGCAGATATGTTGTTCACGAAATGCCCACTTTGTACATACATGCTGTCTCTCTACAACCGTGAACAAAAATCTCAATCGATTCTAGATCTTTTCATCAATATACCTTGCCTTGCACCAAGAAAATTACTAAATGTTCGAGAAACGAGGGCACAAAACATGCGCTATACTTGTGATAGAATTTTGAATATATATTCTCGCTGTGACATATTAAATTCCGCACTGACCACCATCGCGCAGGTCCTGATCCGCTTCATAGTCTTTTTCTTTACAAAAAAAAAGGTTGGATCAATGACGTAGCACCAGGAGAGATTTTGTAGACTTTACTTTTTTTATTTATTTATCTTTGCACTCATTGGTGCGCTAAGCCAACACAGAGTGGGTTAGTACTGCTATAATGATCGAAAACCAAACAGAAAAAAAAATAGCTAAGACAAAAACCAAGAAATTCAGCTGTAGGGCTAACTCGAAATATTTCTCAGTCTATAGGCGGACGACACAGTGGGGACTGATAAAATATACTGAAAAAAGAACAGTGTAGCGAATATCAGCTAGCCATCGAATGAAGG